GGGGAGGCAGTGGGGAGGACAGGTCTCTCTTTCTAAACAGCTTTTCGTCCTCCGATGCCCTAACTGGGAATATTCCCTCTAGTTCTGTCCTCAGGGTGCTGCTCTTTTCCTCAGAGAGCTCACTGACTCCTGGTCATTAATTACCATCTGGAGGGAGGACTCAATGGGTCCACAGCTTCAGCTTTGACCTTTCTCTAGAGCTTGGCTTTTCACTTTTCTAACTGTTAGTTATTACGCTTAGGTCTCCTGCTGTCACCATGAAATCTTGGTTTCTAAACCCAAACCACCTCCTTCCCCAATTCCAGTCTCTAAAAGAAACCTGACTCCCTAACTCTCCTGTTTACAGTTGAAGGCAGAACAATTCTCCTAGCTACCCAGGCTTGGAACAGCTGTGCCATCTGGAATACTGATTTGTCTGTTTCTTGTCTTATATTCTGCTCTCCAAAGTTTAGTTTAGTTTAGTTTTTTTTTTTTTTTTAATTCTCTCCCCATGAGACTGCATACCATGGACTAATCTAGTCTCTGGGGGATACAATAGTGAATAATACAGAGTTGATCTCCATATTTATGGAACTTAAAATATAGCATGGGATCCAAATAGTAAATAAAGGAGCGATGAAATGCACATTTAGTTACAAATTGTGGTGGGTATTATGAAGAAATTCAACACGGCACACAGACAGAGCATAAAGGGGATGGGGATGATATTTGGGAAGGACGGTTAGGGAAGGCTGGAGCCCTAACAGTTCATGTTGTAATTGTCTGACTCTTCTATCTCCCTTGCTCCCTTATCCTTTACTTCCCAAATCCACCTAGCTCACTGAAACCAGAGTAAAGGATAGGTATGTAAGCTTTCATGACAAACCTGGTTGCAAATTCCAATTTTTCCACTAATTAACTAAGCAGCCGAAGGCAAGTCACTCAGCCTCTTTGAGACTCAGTTTTCCCATGTACAAAAGGAGGTTGATATTGCCACTCAGAATGAGGGATTTTTAATAGACATTAGAAATAATAAATGCACACAGCATCTGATTAAGTGTTCACAAAAAGGTTTACATCTGTAAATTACTGATTTTATGTAATTCTATTCCAAGACCTTCACCTTGATTGATTAATTGAGCCAGTATATATTAGCATTTTACCAGCTAGTCCTATTAGCCACTAGGCTAAGCACTGGATAATAGGAAAGAAGGGACATATTTGCTGTCAGTGAGCCCAAAATTTTATGGCCTAGCATTCAAGACAGATCCTAATTCAACTCCCACCTGTTAATCATTTCATGGACATTTACCAAGCTCCAATGATGAAGATATTGTCCTATGCCCAATATAGCTGTTTTCTAAGCTTTGTCTCCAATTATTTCCCTGCACATACCCTCTGCTATAGTCCACCAGTTAACTAAAGAGCACAGTCTTTATGATGCACATGGTTTTCCTCATATCTTTTCATCTGCTCCCTGAATTTTTTCCATCAGTGTTCTTCCCCAACCATCAAGAACTAATTGAATCAAGGCTCCGCTCCCCATAGCACGTGTTTCTCTTCTGGTGAAATCTCTATAATGAAAACAATACTTCTACCTCAGAATTTTAGAATGTGCCTGTGTGTCTTTTCCTTCCTATTATGATATGCGTGCATGAGTATCTTACTCAATTTATCTTCCACACTTATCTCTTGACACATAGTTGGTACTAAGCAACTGTTTGCTGTTTGGCACCAAAATATTTTGTACTTTGTGTAACATAGATTTGTAATTTTCTTCTCCGATGGTTGTGTTTCAGAAAGAAAATCTGTGAGTGATTTATTCAATATGAAGAAAATTTAAGAGTTAAATCTAGGCACACAATGATATTTTATATTTCTGCAAGGCTTTTATTTCTCTCAAGGATTTTATGCAAAGGTAACAATTTTAAATTAGAGCAGGATCTGCATTTTTGTAGTGCTCTACTATCAAAACATAATCAAATTTCATTTTCTGATAATTTTAAGTGTAAAGATGTAAAGCAGCCCCAAAGCTTTTAAGAGAGGAAATTTCCACACACAAAATGCTGTATTTGCTTAATGTATGCATTGTGATTAATGATGGAATGTTTCTTAAAATTAACTGAATAATGCCATCAGAAAAAAGGATTCATCTTTCTTCAAAAGCAGAGATTTACCTGCCTCTCCAAACAAGCAGACTTAGAGAAGTTAAGTGTGCTGGAATTTTAAGACATCAATGCGAACAGGGCCTGGCGTGACCCCTGGTCATCTGCTTACTCAAGAGTTTCAAACAAATATTATTTTTAAAATGAGTCATAATACAAAAAAGGTTTGGAAACCACTGTCCAAAGAAATCTTTCTTACAAATATGACACTCAGTTTTCACGGAAGAAAGAAAAAGCAAGAGCTATAAAATAAAGGGCGTAAGAGAAGCCCATTGGAAGAGCCATGGGCATCATTCCAAGAAGAATCTCCAGGCCCCACTGGTGTTCTAGACTCTAAGAAACTTAATTAAATGTTTCTTACAGAAGAAGGCTATAGTGTGAGCAGGACAATCAGATTTTCATAGTAAGTGGGAGAGATAGCAAATAGCTGATTAGGATGAAGGCAGCTACTCATAGATGCTGTCACCTCTGTGCTCCGTGGTATAATTAATGGCATCTCTGCTGCAGGTAACTCTTTCTTCATGGAGATATCATGATCCTATACAATTCACCCCCCTTTTTTTGTGTAAAGTTCTATGAGTTTTTAAAAACACACATAATTGGGGCGGAGCAAGATGGCGGAGGAGTAGGA